CAAAAGGTCTTTCCCCAATTTATACTGGAATTAAGGAGTAATTCACATTCTGAACAGACCTCCTTACTCTGCAATTTCCTTACTCAACGCTTAAGGACAGCAAAACATTCAACTCCTGTAGCCAGTGAAGAACAAACCAAACCGTTCCCCAGCCGCTCTGCGCTGCTCTGGATTTGGCACAGGCAATAATTCTCATTATTCCTCTGCTGCAGTCGGCCAAATCCATTTTCTCAAGCTCTGTTGCTTGGAACAGACCCGGAGCAGCCCCGCAGCTGAGCTTCCACTGGAGCCACCTTTATTTACATCAGCTAGAAATCTGTTTTGCTACCTTCCTGGGGCAGGAAGCAGTAGTTGGGTGTGTTTGGCTGCATTTCACCGCTTTTCCTCTACTAAATGCCCAGCTGCCCTCTATCGGTAAGCAGCCTGAGCGACTTCTTTCAACATTTTCCCACTCGAGGCCACCTCAAACTTTACCTGAGGTTGGTTTGGCGTTTGCTGAAGAGACGAGCCCGGCGAGATCGAGAACTTCCCCTGGCGCAAGGAGAAACGGCGAGGCGAGAGTCACAGTGTTGGCGATGGGATTGGTCCCCTCTGGATGAGCGTTCACCTGGTTCTGCATCGCTTCCTAGCAAAGAGAGCGGGGTCAGGCACACGCTCGTCACGTTTTCTGTGGGATTTAGCATCCTCAAAGCGTTTTAGAGGCAGATTATTTCTCTCTGTGGCACGTCAGGGACACCAGGTGTGACAAAAGTGCCACCTCAAATCGGCAGCTTATGGCACGACCACACAAAATGCAGGGCATTGAACCCCCATCATTGCATCCCAGCAGAGACACTGGTTGATGTAGAAATAAAAACTAAGCCTCATCCACCTGCGTATTTCCAGTTCTCTCTGCAAAGAGATGCTGATCCCATCGGACACAACAGGATCCCTCTCACTTCAGCACAGACACAGCTGTGGGGCAGAGAATGACCAACAAGTTTCTCCTACCTCAACCTACCTGGAGCATCACCAGGGTCTCTGGATTGTTCTTATCCAACGCGATATCGAAAGCGGATTTATCAAACTTGCTGAAAGCGTGGACGTCAGCTCCGTATTTGATAAGCAGCTCCACGACGTCTCGGTGGTTGTGCTCCGTGGCCCAGTGCAAAGCTGTCATTTTCAACATATCCTTGGCATTTACGTCAGCCCCGTTCTGAAAGCAAGCAGTGTTATTTGTCTGGGAGCCGTCTTCTCCGAGTCTTAAATGCAGCGCCTGTGCTGGCATTTAAACAGGGACATCACCACTTCAAGGGTGATTCAGACCAGCCCTAAAGCTAGGCCTGATTTCCTACACTTACCCTAATTAGCAGCTCTACAATACGAGCGTGGCCGTCGGCCGCAGCCATGTGCAGCGGCGTCCGGTCCACTTTGGTCCGGGCATCTCTGCTAACGCCAGCGCGGAGCAGCACTTCTGCCGTCGAGTAGTGGCCGTACTGGGCAGCAAGGTGCAGAGGGGACGTCCCCAGCTGTGTGGGTATTGACAAGAGTGAGTGTCAGCTCAGGGCAGGAGAGGACAGGCACAGTAATCACCAGCAGTAATTAAAATGACAAAGCTTCTGGGAGAAATTAATTTAACCTTTTTTTCACAGAATCACAGAATGGCTCGGTTGGAAAAGCCCTCTGAGATCATCACGTCCAACCGTTCCTGTCTACCCCTAAACCATATCCCTAAGTACCTCATCTACCCGCTCCTTAAACACATCCAGGGATGGGGACTCCACCACCTCCCTGGGCAGCCTGGTCCAGCTCCTGACGACCCTCTCAGTACAGAACTTCCTCCTTAGCTCTGACCTGAACCTCCCTTGGCACAGCTTGGTGCCGTTTCCCCTTGTTCTATCCCCCATCACCTGGGAGAAGAGACCAGCACCCACCTCTCCACAACCTCCCTTGAGGCAGTTGGAGGTGGTGATGAGGTCTCCCCTCAGCCTTCTCTTCTCCAGGCTGAACAAGCCCAGTTCCCTCAGCCGCTCCTCATCAGGCTTGTTCTCCAGAGCCCTCCCCATCCTTGTGGCTCTTCTCTGAACACGCTCCAGAATCTCAACATCCTTCTTCTAGTGAGGGGCCCAGAACTGAACACAGCACTCGAGGTGCGGCCATATGGCAATAAGAGGCTGCACATCCAATAATTTTCCCAACAACTTTAAACTTTTTAGGGATCTTTACGTTATCTGATAACTCAAACATTACTTTTTCCGTCGTGTTTTCATCCCTTCGTCACTGAGCTTCCTTTTTCCAACACCACAGCAAAACATCTCAGCCATTTCCGTATCAAGACAGATCATTTCACCCGTACTCCAGTATCACCTCCTGACACAGTTAATTCCTTCCCCTCACCAAGTTATGAATGAGCAGACTGGTAAGTTGGGAAACGAAGACAATTAGTGATGGAAAATGCCTAACGAAGGCTTGTTTGTTATTCTCTGGTTCCCTGTTTATACAACTGTTACTCTTCAGTTTCATTAAAGCTTTTATTTCCTTTCCAAGCCAGGATGGGCTGGTTTGTTTTCAGGGGGTTATTTTTGAAAGGAAATAAAAGAAAAAAAACCCCAAACCCCAAAGCTGAGTTTCTCGATTGAGGGAGTTTAAAGAATTAAATCGAGCATTCTTAAAAGCACTTCCTATTGCTGAGAGGTTTAACACTTCTTCCAGTCTGACTCGACTCATCGCTTAGCTCAGCGTTTCCTAAAGATCTGAGCCCTGCATGCATCGCTGTCCAGGACAGCACAGTGATGCGATGGTGCCCGTGTGCATCAGGCAGAGATCAATCCTTACACAAACATCAGTTCACCTCTGCCTGAGGAAGGTTTTTAAAGCACTTCATCTGGAACCTGCTCTGCCACAGAGATCCAGAGATGCATCCTGGGCTGCATCAAAAGAGGTGTGAACGGTAGAGTGAGGGAGGGGATTCTGCCCCTCTGCTCTGGTGAGACCCCACCTGGATACTGCGTCCAGTTCTGGGGCACCCGATATCAGAGGGCCATGGAGCTGTTGGAGAGGGGCCAGAGGAGGCCATGGAGATGGAGCAGCTCCCCTACGAGGCCAGGCTGAGAGAACTGGGGCTGTTCAGCCTGGAGAAGACTCCAGAGGGACCTTACAGCGACCTTCCAGGACCTGAAAGGGTCCTATACAGGAAAGCTGGGGAGGGACTGTTTACAAGGGCAGGTAGCAACAGAACAAGGGAGAATGGTTTTAAACTGGAAAAGGGCAGATTTAGAGTGGATCTTGGGCAGAAATCCCTCCCTGTGAGGTGCTGAGGCCCTGGCCCAGGTTGCCCAGAGAAGCTGTGGGTGCCCCCTCCCTGGCAGTGCCCAAGGCCAGGTTGGACGGGGCTTTGGTCAACATGGTCTGGTGGAGGTGTCCCTGTCCATGGGGGTTGGCCTGGATGATTTGTAAGGTCCCTTCCAACCTAAACCATTCTATGAGTCTATGATTATCCGTCACTCCGGTTTCACCGCTCTGATTTCCAGGCGTATCCTCAGGTTCAGCCCAAAAGAGGAGTCTCCTTCTCTGCAGACATTCAAAACCCGCCTGGACGCCTTCCTGTGTAACCTCATCTGGGTGTTCCTGCTCCGGCAGGGGGATTGGACTGGATGAGCTTTGGAGGTCCCTTCCAATCCCTCACGTTCTGGGATTCTGCGTAACCCGCCTCGCACAGAAAAGCGGCGTCTGCTCTCCCAGCGTACCCAGTCGGTGGTGAAGGGGGCGCCGCTCGCCATCAGCTTGCGCACTTCGTCATCTTCGCCCTTGCGAGCCGCTTCTAACAACCTCTTCCCTAGGTCCACCAAGGACATCTTCGAACATGGGAACAAGCGTTTGCCGAAAGCTGCTTTCAAAAGTGGGAGGGAGAAACGGAAAAACAAACAAGCAGCAGTGAGGCACAGACATTTTACAAGCGCCGTACAACTACGCAGGGCTCATGTGGACACACGTTCTTCCCATACTGAACGAGGCCCATGACAATCAATAAACCAGGCATGAATTATCATAAATATTGAGCATATTTTTCAGTTCCGTGCCCTGAAGGCTGCACAAAGGCCCCAGCAAACCAGACCAGACAGCGCAAGCCACCAGAGCTCCGGCAAAACCCTCACTCACCTCAACAGCGCCTGGCACGGACACAAAGACTCGCCCATGTGGATCCAGGTCCAAGAGCAGAACCTACAGAAGCAACAGCGAAAGCTTTCACAACATCACCTTGATTTTTTTAAGGAGCTTTGAGAACACGGTTTAACCTCCAAGACACTCTCTCTGACCCCAGCGGCAGCAACTACTCATGGGGGAACCATCCCTGGTCTCTGCTGGGAGCGGGCAAGGCAAGCGCTGGTGACTGCGGGGACTCGCCCAAGGTCAGAAAAGGAGCAGAACCCGACGGCCGCGCCGAGCGTACCAGACAACAGCGTCTCTGTTTATCCCAAGCTACACAAACCAGAGCATAACTAGGGCTGTAACAGTGAACTGGAGCATTTTTCTCAACGACGGGGTTACTGGTACGCCCACCAAAAGCTGACTCTAAAGCCCGGCCGTTAACTCACGCACAGCGTTCTGTGTGCGGCTACAAACGAGCGTCTGTGCGAGCGGGCAGCGTGCCACCAGCGCCGAGGCCCTCCACTGCTTCATTTTCTTCTTCTCCCTTCAATTACAGCTCTATTTCTTTCTTGTTCCTTGTTCTTTCAAGAGAAACATCCCACCCCATCCTCAGTGACCACCAGCAGCAGCGCTACCCTTTAAAGCAAAGCCTAAGAGCAAACCTCACCCCGAAATCTCAGCAGGATGCGCCGCCCCCCTCCCCAAACACACCTCACTTTACGGGACCATCCTGCACCCACTGCGTTTTCCAGCGTGCAGTTACCACCTGCAACACCTCAGGCTTGGAAGTCAAGGGCCCAGAGCAGTTACTCAGAGCTCACTCCGCAATCAAGCCCTTTGATGCGTTTACAGCGCGTACGTTTGACGACCACAACCCCTCTGCCCTTTAGGACTTTCCACTTTGGGGTTTTTTTCCCCCTCCCCCTTTCTCACTTCTGTGTTTTTAAATGTTCTTTTCTGGCGCCCACCTTGAAAACGCTCACATTTTCCGGGCATGAGGAGCTGCGCTCACAGAGTTAACCAGCAGTATTTGCAAGACCAGAGCTCACCGCTCTGGGCGTGTTTGGAAAAAGAGAGGAGAAGCTGGATCATTATCAGCTTTTTCTCCTGGTATTAAACTGCACCTTTATCACTTACTAATTATTTGGAGGCCTCTCCTTGCATCCCTGCTCTCTTCCCAGCTGGATGCTTTCAGGGAGGATTTAAAGCCCGAGGCTCCCTCTCTCTCAAGTTATTTACAGTTTGGACAACCGCTGACAACTCCTCGCCTCCCTTCCGCTGCATTTCAGGCATAAAAAGAAAGAGCACGGGTCTCAAAAAGCCCAAAATTGCTTCTGACTTGGGGCGAGCGCTGCAGACTCGCCTCAAAACCCCCCCAAAACCCCCAAGCCCCCTCCTTGTAGGGGACACGAGGCCGCTTCCCCTGCCCTGGTCAAGGCTCGTACCCCCTGGCTCTCCCTGAGAGGAGCTCGTCCTCTCGTCACCCCCTCTTGGGGCAGGGACCCCTCCAGGGCCCCTCCTGCTCCCCCCTGTGCCGCTCCCTACGGACACCCCGAGAATACCCCAAAAACACCCCCCATCCCCAACGCAGGGGGGACACCCCTGTCCCATCCCCTCCAAACTGGCCCTAGCACTGCTCCTTCAC